CATTTGCTGTCTGGGCCTCAGGCATTTTTTGGCTTAAAATGAAAACTGCAGCTCTAAGATTTAGACTTAGGTCTTTCAGGAGGTTCTGTCAAGGAAAAGAATCACAAGTTACTTATTTCAAGATCAGGTATTTTATTTATTAATATGAAAGTTTCTTCATCTATTTTTCTTCTTCTTTAGTAAAATGGTGGCTGCATCATCATCATCTTCATTCTATTATATATTCATTATTTCAAGAAATATTTAGGGGCCGGCCCCGTGGCTTAGCGGTTAAGTGCGCGCACTCCGCTACTGGTGGCCCGAGTTCGGATCCCATGCGCGCACCGACATACCGCTTCTCTGGCCATGCTGAGGCCGTGTCCCACATACAGCAACTAGAAGGATGTACAACTATGACATGCAACTATCTACTGGGGCTTTGGGGAAAATAAGGAGGAGGATTGGCAATAAATGTTAGCTCAGAGCCAGTCTTCCTCACCAAAAAGAGGAGAATTGGCATGGATGTTAGCTCAGGGCTGATCTTCCTCCCAAAAAAAAAGAAAAAGAAGAAATATTTATTAAGTACCCATTTGGGAACCTATTCAAGGCATTCTGCTAGGCTCTGCTGATACATTGGTGAATAAAACAGCTAAGGTCCCTGCCTTCCCTGGAGTTTATAGCTTATTGGGGGAAACCAACCACAAACAAGAGTAACAGGATATTTCTGTCTTAGTTTCGGCTAAGGCACCGAAGAACAAAGCAGTAGGTGTCAGGTTTCTTGGCTTTCTAAATTGAGGTGCTAGACTACTTCTGCAGGATTTGCAGAAAGAGTACCTCAGAACTGGTTCTGCCAGCCTGAACCCATCTCCACCTCCAGGGCACTGAAGAGAAGGCTTAGTGTTCTTTAAGGCTTAAGTGCTGGTAGGGAAGATTTCTTTGAGGAGAGTTGTCGCTGTGCTGTGTGGCTCTCCTCACCTCAGGGAGGGGCTGTGTGTCCCTTCACTCAAACCTAGTTGGGAGGAGGCTTCTAGGGAACTACTGAGAGAGAGCACTGTCCTGTGTTTCCTGGAGTTTGGGGACCTGGCGACTGACATCTGAGGCATCTCAAGGCAGAGGTGGCGTGGGGGTAGGGGAGGAATGTGTGTGGGGGCAACAGAGAGAAGAGGTGGCTGGATTGGGAGTGGCTGGCACTTTCAGAGTTGACCTGGCAAGAATTGACTCTGAAGAAAGAGCAGATTGGGTCATCTTGAAAGCAACTTGACAAGGAGGACCATATGGAGGGGTGAGGTGACTCTGGAAAAAAGATGGGCCTCTGGAATGGGGCAGCTGAGTGGGAATGAAAGGGAAATTCTTAAGGGACCAAACAGAAAGAGCCTTGCCCAGCAAAGCAGCTGTGGGTAAGACATCTGTCATGAGAGGAGTCTCTGAAAACCCCATAAAGAGCGGGCTTGGGAAGCTTGGTTGTCTGCCAAGTGCAGAGCCACCAACCCAAGATTACAGCCATATCTGACAAGTTAGATCTATCTTCGCCTATTCTCCTCTGTCTCCTGCCCCAACCTGGAAGGGCCCAAATCTATAGCTAGCAAGATGGGAGGAGGTGGAAGGAGGAGAAAGCTGACAAAGCTTCCCCCGGACAAGCTTCTAAGCCTGAAACAGATCTGAGCTGGGAGAGAAGAGAAATTGTAGGTTAACTTAGGTCTGGATATTAAAATCACCAGGAAGTGACTAGGATGGCTATGAGACCTGTGGGAGATTTTCATCTAGCAACACGGAAGAACATATGAAGGGAGCAGATTTGAAGGAGCAGAAGTAGGAGGGGATAAATCGCTTTCGGTTCACGTCGTACTGGCGCTGGTTCCTTTAATAACCTGGTTAGGGTAGTAAATGAATAAAATGTAGAATTATGAAACTATGTTCGTAAAGGATAGTGGGGAGGGGTGGTGGTGATGGGGAGCCTATTTAGATAGCTCAACAAAGATGACCTCTCAAGAAATGATAATTAATGAATGAGAAGGAGCCAGCCATGTTGTGTTTAGTGGGAGTTGGGGGAAGGAGGTGCTTGCAGGGTCCAGGCGTAGGGAACAGCATGTGTAAGGTTTATGTGGAGTCACATGATCGGCATCCTGTAAACATTTGGGTGGCTTCAACCAATGATATTTTCATTCTTTGTGCAGGGCACTGAGTTAAATGCCAGGTCTACAAACAGGAGAAATGCATTCTTCACTGAAGTTTAAGGCTTAATTGATCAACATTGGAAAAAACCACTTTGATAAAAGGTAAGATCTAAAGGCTATAAAGAATGAAGAGGCTCCTGCCCTCTGCCCTCAAGCTCCTGATGGCCCCAGATGACACTCTACTTTTCTGAGAATTGCCACGATAAGCAGCCTCTCCTAGTGCACTGGCAATCTTTTATGGAGTGTAGGGACAGCTGGATAAAGAAACACAGAGCTCCCTTGACAGTCCCAGGAGGGAGAGAAAACCTCTTAACTTGCTCTAGTGCTCTGTTTATGTGTAAGGCTTAGAAAAGACTACTTGTTATAAGCGTGCCATCAAAAATAATTGAGGTAAGATGTCAAGAACTCCATCAAGTAGGGGCAGATATAACTCCTTGCATTGAAACAATGATTGGAAAAGTGGCTCACCTTCGCTGGTGTAAGTTTAATCACTCAGGAAGTAAAAAGAGCAGAACCCAGACAGATGCGCTGGTGGCCTGGTGAAGGCCTGGGGAGAGTCTCTGCAGGAATGTGAACTCATGCATTTAAAGCTTAGATCCCAGGCAGACAGTGACCTCAGCGGGTGCCTGTGCGGGTGGCACTTTCCCAGCCTCGTAGGGGTTCCAGCTGGCACTCGTGTCCACCAGGAGATGGAGCATTTCGGGACAGGGAGCAACGCACCAAGGCCTGTGGGGGCTCCCACGAGACGAGGACTTACTGACAGCCCCTGCTTTCAAGGAATTCTCTGGTTGGGAGACAGAGCCTACGTGGCCAACACATCTGGTGGTCACATGTGCAGAGGCAACCCAAGGAGGTGAAGAGAGAGGTAAAATATGCTTCCTGTGAATACCAAGAAAAGACAGTGCAAACTAAGTTACCAGAGTTTTCCATGTGTCTAGCTTTTAATTTTATCTATTCACTTTCCTCATAACATGTGCTCAACAGAGAAACTGGCAAGGGCAGTGTAAGAAATCAGCTATTTTCATTTTTAAAGACTATTTTGTAAATAGAGAAGGGACTTCTGAATTTCAGAGGAAAGAGTTTGTGCTATGTCTTTCCTCTTTTCCCATCGGTGGGGAGAAGTAATTTGTCCCATTAGAACCTGTGCCCCTTACCAGCCCCGTGGCTTAGCGGTTGAGTGCACGCGCTCCGCTGCTGGCGGCCCGGGTTCGGATCCCCGGCGCGCACCGACGCACCGCTTCTCTGGCCATGCTGAGGCCGCGACCCACATACAGCAACTAGAAGGACGTGCAGCTATGACATACAACTCTCTCCTGGGGCTTTGGGGAAAAAATAAATAAATAAAAATTATTAAAAAAAAAAAAGAAACTGTGCCCCTTAGAGAGGAGCCAGTCCCCAAACAGGCTGCCTGGTATGCAGAATGTTCTCAATAAATGTGTTTAAACATCAAACCTGAGGGATTTAGGGATCTAAGAATTTCAAATCTATTTTTTAAAAATTTTGAATTAGAGTGCTTTGTAACTAGTTTGCCTTTCCAGTACTGTATATGAATATCAGACCTTAAGATGTGCTCCTTAATACTCCTTAATTTACAAATACAATGCGTTTCCAAAATCAGTTTTCAAGTTGATATTGTGGTCCTTAGGCGTATTTTTTTCCCGTGACAACACATTATAGTAGAAAGCATGAGCATTTGGGTTAGACAAATGTGCTTTTGAACACCAGCCTCACAACCCTGAGATCTGGAGTCTGGGACCCTGCCCTAGATTCCCACTTTGGAGGGTCCACTCTGACCCTTTGACGGCCGCAGTTCTCCTTGCAAAGAGAGAAGTCTGAGGGGCCAAGAACACATGCCCACCTGCAACCTCTGTCCCTGCGCTCTCAGGACTCTGGAATTCCCTGCCCCAGCAACTGGTAACACACTTCCAGGGATTGCTGGGGCTTGGGAAAGGCTGGCTGGGCTGTCCACCCTTGTGCAGGGTGGGGCCTGATGGGGTGGGTATAAGGTGGGATTAAAGGGAAGATGGGGCAGTGGGCTGGGGAACTTCCATCTGTGCTCCCACACTGGGTCCCTCACATCTGACTTTGGGTCACATTGCTTGCAAGTGACTTGACCTTCCTGAAGATCATTTTCCTCTTTCAAAAATGTGTATAAGAATTCCTATCTTACGGATTTTAAGGATCCAATTAGATTATTATATGAACATAATTGTATGGGATAGTGAACAATACATTCTTATTGCTGCTATCAACCATGGCTAGAGTTTCAGGCTAAACTAAAACATTTAAAGCCACCATACAACTGAAATGCATTACTAATTATATTATTAGCACTATTAGTATTTCAGGTATATAATCTCTTATCTGAAACCTTTGGGGCCAGATGTTTTCAGAATTCAGAAGTTTTTGGGTTTAGAAATATGTGCATAAACCATATATTGTACATGGTTTATATGGCAGAGTCACGTTATCTAATACAGTCATATTTTCATAGCAAAACCTATTGAATGAATATGTGTCATAAAGACTACAAATAGCCTCATGTCAATTCAGGTCAGTTTTTAAAAAAAAAACTTTAAGTTTTAGAACAGTTTTAGATTTACAGAAATATTGCAGATAGATAGTATAGAAAGTTTCCATATGTCCTGTACCCGGTTGTCCATATTGTTAGAATCTTATCTTACCATGGTACATTTTTCACAATTAATGAGCCAATATTGATACATAATTATTAACTAAAGTCCATACTTTATTCAAATTTCCTTAAATTTTTACCTGATGTCCTTTTTCAGTTCCCAGGGTCCATCCAGGACACTCCATTACATTTAGCCATTACATCTCCATAAGCTGTGACAGTTTCTCAAACTTTTCTTCTTTTTGATGACCTTGACAGTTTGAGGAGTACTGATCCAGTATTTTGTGTAGAATGTCCTTCAGTTGGGATTTGTCTGATGGTTTTGGGTTTTTTGGAGGAAGACCACAGAAGTAAAGTGCCGTTCTCATCGCATCTGAAGGGTCCGTGCTGTCAACAGGACTTATCACTCTTGATGTTGACCTTGATCACCTGGCTGAGGTAGTGTTTGTTAGGTTTCCCCACTAGAAAGGTACGCTTTTTTCTCTTCTTTTCATTCTATGCCTTTTGGAAGGAACTCACTAGGCATAGCCCACTATTAAGGAGTGGGGATTTATGCTCCCCCTCCTGACGTGTGGAGTGTCTACATATATTGTTTGGAATTCTTCTGCACAGGATATTGATTTCTTCTCCGTAGGTCAAGTTTTGCTGGAAAATGGGTTAAGAAATCTTTTTTTCCTTTTAAAATTTTTGTATTGTGGATAAGGGATTATGAACCAGAACCAGCATTACATCTAAATGTAACAAGTCTTACAATCTGCTTGCAGCCACTGTGCTCCTCGGGTGACAGAAGAAACTGAGTGACTGTTCCTTGTAAGAAGAGAAAATGACAGGGTCTAATAGAAAGGGATAATGGTGGCCTGTCTGCCAGAGCCCTGGATGAGCCCCACCCATCATACATGGCTTTGGCTGTACATTCCTAAACAGGAAGTACGTTTGGTTGTTTCCATACCCTCGTAACAAATTCAGCCTGAAGGGAAATAATGGAAATATGGTGATGGCCAAGTTAAGAGTATAAGTTTTAAAAAATAAGGCAAATTGTCCCTTTTATGCATTTGTCAGACCTTTTTAAATATGCATTTTCATAGAGACTCTTGAATTGTGATTATTTAGCACTGGGAGAGGTGTTTATAAGGAAAGCTAGGTGCTTTTTGCCCTGGGCATGCAGAATCACTTCCCATAGTCACTGAGGAACCCACTCTACTCTCCCATATTCCCACCTCGCCGGGAGATGCATCATACTCCCCCCAGACAGCGCTACGTGCCACACAATCTCAGTCTCCTTTCTCCTCAACTCTTTTCTTTCACCTCCACTCCCAGCTGGGTGAGACCCTCTTAGGATTTTTTTTATTGTTCAATCCTAGCTCCCCTGTGGTCTCTATATGGCTTCTGAAACTTGCTTCTATTGTGGGTAATATCTGACAATGTATGCTCTAGAGCTGCAGCTGGGCCTTGTTGTGCTGGGCACTACCCCTTTAGGTACAGAAGGTCCAGTGGGAGGGGATTCACTGAAGGATGTGTGAGGGGACCTGGAATGGCTGAGAGCAGCAGCTATTTACCAACCTCAAGAGGAGTCTTTTGATATTTTAACATACAGGGAAAGTAAATATTATTAAATGTATTTTATATCATATTGATCATTGGAGCCTTCCAGAATTAAGCCCTGGCTTCCACTTACTGATTAGTGATGTATTGCTCACACACACTCAGGGTTGACTTTCCAACTCGTGAAGTTGTTCACTAAAGCTCCAACAAAGTATCCATCACAGTGAGACCTAATATTGATATGCTGCTGTTCAAACTTACCCCTGAAACCTAATAGCCTATGTCATTATGGTCTTAGAGCTAACTCGCAAGATAGTATGACCCCTGGGCAGCACCAGAATTGTTAAAGATTGACTGACAAGAATGTATTTGTAGTGAAGTTTTTCCTCCTTGAGTCTTCAAAGGAGCACAGGTCAGGAAATTTCTCCTCCATTGGTTTCACTTGATCCCTCTCCAGTCTATGACTTCACTGCCTACAATCACATGCATCTCTTTAGTATACAGTGGGTGATCCTATCTCTTACACCTGATTTAGGAGAATAATGTAGGTGTCTTGAAAATGGTACAAACTTCTGAGGAAAAAAAAGTTTTATGTAATCTAGATGATGAATAATCTTCAAATAACTCCCTGAATTTGAGCTCTGATTAGGGAGACATAATTAAGCATGTTGGCATTGAAGAAACAAAATATTTCAAACCACTCTCTGATCTTGGTTGTCTCTCTTTTTCAAAGTCTCAAAATTAAACACAACGGTGGACTAGATAAATAGGGATATTACTCACCATCTGGTTATGCTACTTGATGACTTGACTGGAGTTTCTCAGAGACTTTCTTTTCAAAGACCCCCCTGGGGGGCACGGTCCCCTCAAACCTAGTTTCTGTGGTGTCTTTTACCTGCATCTCTGTGTTTAATTGCCTATAGCAAAGGTCTCTGAACTTTTTTGTCAAACCCCTCTATCCATAAAAATTATTTGACTACTAAGCCTTATAATACATTTTATACATTTACTGTTAAAATAATATATTATTTGTGTTATAAAACTTTATACAGTTCATTTGGAAATTTCTCATGTACTGCCTTGTGAAAAGCCCTCTATTGTATCTTGAATTGTTTTTTAAATAGTTAATTGTGATTTACATTTTCATTGGTTTATGGTTTTTTTCCTCCAAATAGATTTATAAAACTAAGTCAAGAATTTAAAAAAATTTATTCTATTTATAATAGAACCTTTTGCTTCACTGGTTTTTTGGACCAGAAAGACCTGAAATCTTGTCCTAGGTTTCGCCCTATATGCGTGATCAGCAGCAAGCCACTTAGCTTCCATGGGCCCCGCTTATCTCATCTGTAAAGGAAGGGCTTGGACTAGATGATTTCTGAGATCCCTCCAGCTTTATAATTTGGATGACAGTATTTGATTTGGCAAATCTCCCAAAAGGATGTTCTCTGAGTTTGAGAAGTCTGTCCTAATTTGACCGTGGATGTTATGAATTTGAAAAACTTTTAGAAAACCCTCCAAAGACAAAAGCATACTCACTGGCTCAGACGCTTGGTGTACCAAACCATCTTTCTGCTGCATGGCTCAGACAGTGGGTCAGGGGTGCCACTACGGAATGCCACAGCCACAGCATCACAGCGGCAGGGGGCTGGCTACACGTGAAAATTATGAAACTGTCAGCAACAGCATTATTCATAGGGAGAACTTTAGCTGAGAGCAGAGTTCAATAATTGTTAGTCCAACAAGACGGCAATTGGCCTCCTCACTTTTCCTGGTTGCATAATGTTAAAAATCTTTATTTTCTGAGCATTTGTGTATGAACTGTGGTTTTTAGAGAAATAGATTTATTAAAAAATAGAAATCAAAATGTCACATCCTGTAAACATACCATAAGCTGATTATTTTAAATGTTTTCTTAAGCAGATGGATTGAGGACATGACAGTAATAATGAACATTCATCTAAAGAATAGATTTTGATCAAGGAAGTCTCCCATTGGTTCCATATATAATCTTTACTCTGTTGGTTTTCCCAGGGCAAAAATTGAACAAAAGAAACAAACCACAGCTCTTGAAATATAATACCAGTAAACAAAACAAAACAAACAAAAAACAAACAGAACCTCAAGACAAAAACTGGCCTAACAATGCAAACTACAACATAAATAAGATGCTACTACACCTAGGCAGACACTCATATCCAGTCTGTATCGTGGAAAGACTTATGACTGAGTGAGGAGAGGAGAGACCATGAAGAGTCAGTCATAGATTTTTAATTTGTAAGCCCACACTGATCCAGGGAAGACTTACAGCAAATTTTATTCCAATGCCTTTTATTGTTTTTTATCATATAATCTGTGTCTGTCAGCAACAGCCTTTGATTGCTTCTTTAGCCAATCTGAAATGCTAGGAGGATCCTTGTCTGACCAGTTTTTAATAACTGCATCTCTGTGCCACCCTCACCATCATTTTATTTGCTTTCAGGACTAGACATCTTTACTCACATTATGTTTAAGGATCTATTATAATATGATTAAGGGGGGTGGACAATAATTATAAAGGAAATGAAAAATCAAGAATCTTATATTTCTATCCCAGGCAAGGACCATAAATTAGTTATGCCACAGTGGCCCTCTTTCCCATGGGGTTGTTGTTATGATAACACTGGTGACAACACATCTGGCATTTTATGTAAAAGATGCTTTATATTTGTCACGTTGAAAATGCGAATGTGCAGTAAGCATTGGCATCTAATATGTAAACAGATGTAGAAGCTTTGGTTAAACACAAGGGGAGATTTCCTATGAAAAATGGATAAATGTATTTCATAAAAATGATTGTCAGCACCATTTTAAGTAGATCATGCTGCCCTTAGTAAGAACAATGTAGAATAAATACCAGTTGTTTTTATTTTTATTTTTTATTTATTTATTTTTTTGTGAGGAAGATCAGCCCTGAGCCAGCATTCATTGCCAATCCTCCTCCTTTTTTTTCCCCCCATTCTCCCCAAAGCCCCAGCAGACAGCTGTATGTCATAGTTGCACATCCCTCTAGTTGCTGCATGTGGGACGCCACCCCAGCATGGCCTGACAACGGTGGGTGCGCGTCGGGATCCGAACAGAGGCCGCCAGTAGCGGAGCGCGCGCACTTAACCGCTAAGCCACGGGGCCGGCCCCCACCAGTTGTTTTTATTTCATGCCTCAGTTTGTGTGTTAAAAGTTAGGCTAATTACCCTGATTATATGATTAATGCTCAGATTTGATTTAGTAAACTAATAATTTTGCATTTTGTGACCCTCGGTTTTTCAGGCCAGCTGTTTTGCTCACCAGGTGTGCTCAGATTGGAAAAAGGCAAAAGTCTAGGAGCCAACTAAAGTCTGATGTAGACTTTCCTTTAGACTTAAAAATAAAGATTTTAAATCATGAAATTCCACTGTGAGGAATATACTCTACTGTCATTTTTTTTAATTCCAGTGAAATCCCCACAGCGTGTTCAGGGCTGAACAAGCAGAGAGGGTGCAGACCATGCTTATTCTTTACAGTCTGGGTATTTGGGAGACTCTCTGAGTCAGCTTCTTCTCCTCTGTTCCTTCCTTCCTTCCTGCCTGGGAGGGCAAGAGTGGGTAGGGCCAGCCTTACCTGTGGGAACAGTAGGTGGCTCTCCTTAAAATGCTCCTTTTCCCCTATTATT